GTGCTTCTAATGAATATTCATGGTTGATTTCCTTTAGGATTGATTGATTTGATCTCTTTGCAGTCCAAGGGACTCTCAGGAGTCTTCTCCAGCACACAGTTAGAAGGCATCAATTCTTCAGTGCTGAGCTTTTTTTATTGTCTAGCTCTTACATCCATACCTGACTACTGGAAAAACCATAGCTTTGACTATATGGATCTTTGTCGGCAAAGTAATAGACTTTTTAATAGACTGTCTAGGTTTGTCATTGCTTTTCTTACAAGGCGCAAGCGTCTTTTAATTTCATGAGGATGTTGATCAAGTCTGTATCTTTGCCATGTTTATGCCTGGTTTTTCTATCAGTCATTGAGAGAGGGTATTAAAAATCTCTGCTTTAACTGTGGATTTATTGTATCTTCTTTGCAATTCCATAAGCCTTTGCTTCATGTATTTTGAAGCTCTTTTATTAGATACATAAATGTTTGGGATTGTTATGTCTTCTCAGTTAATTGACTCTAATTATGAAATGACCTTTATCTCTGATAGTTTATTTTCTCTGAAATCTACATTGTCTGATATTAATATACCTGTTCCAACCTTCTTTTAACTAGTGCTAGCATATTTTTTGCATTTCTTGTATTTTTAATCTGTTTCTTTTTATTTAAAGTGCATTTCTTGTCAGCAGTGTGTAGTTGAATCAAATCCTACAATTTTTCCAGCCCAGGTTGGATGCATGAGACAAGTGCTCAGGGCTGGTGCACTGGATGACCCAGAGGGATGGGATGGGGAGGGAGGTAGGAGGGGGAATCGGGATGGGGAACACATGTAAATCCATGGCTGATTCATGTCAATGTATGGCAAAAACCACTACAATATTGTAAAGTAATTAGCCTCCAACTAATAAAAATAAATGAAAAAACAACAAACAAAAAACAAATCCTACAATTTTTATCAAATCTGACAATCTCTTCCTTTTAATTGGATGTTTAGACTATTTACTTTTAACATGATTATTGGTAGGGTTTGATATGTTACCTTGCTGTTTGTCCCATTTCTTCTTAGTTCTCTTTTTATACCTTTTTTGAATTACTTTTATATTTTTATGATTCTATTGCATCTCCTTTTTTGGCCTGTAAGCTATGACATTTTTGTTATTTTATTGGTTCTAGGATTTATAGGGCTTCCCATGTGGCTCAGTGGTAAAGAATCCACCGGCTAGTGCATGAGACTCAGATTCAATCCCATGGAGTAGGAAACGGCAGCTCACTCCAGTATTCTTGCCTGGGAAATTCCGTGGATAGAGGAGCTTGGCAGGCTCTAACCCATGGGGTTGCAAAGAGCTGGACACAACTGAGAGACTGAGCATGCCCACACTAGGGTTTATAGTTGTACATCTCTTAACTCTTCACACTCTACCTTTAAACGATATTATACTATTTCACATAGAATGTAAACATTTTAATGTAAGAATCTTAGAGCAGTGTACTTCCATTTCTCTCATCCAACCTTTATACTGTTGTTATACATTTTACTTTTACATATAAAATACATTGTTATTTTTGTTAAAGAAGTCTGTTATTATTTAAAAGAGATTTAACTAATAAGAATCTTATACATATTACCTAAAGTATCATTTTGTTCTTGTCTGAAAGACAACCTTTAACATTTCCTGCCATTGTGGGTATACAGGCATGCCTTGTTTTACTGTGCTATGCTTTGTTGTACTTTGTAGATACTGCATTTTTTTACAAATTGAAGGTATGTGGCAACCTTGTGTTGAGCTAGTCTGCTGGTGCCAGTTAGTTTTGAATTAAGGCATGTACATTGTGTTATCATACACTTAAAAGACTACAGTGTAAACAGAATTTTATATGCACTGGGAAACCAAAAACTTCATGTGATGTGCTTTATCTCAAGCTTCCCTTTATTATAGTGGTCCAGAACCAAGCTTGTACTGTCTCTGGGTTATGCCCTTACTGGGGATGAATTCTTTCAGGTTTTGTACGTCTAAAAACAACCTGATCTCATTTTTTTCCCCTTGATTTATTCATTTATTTATGTGGTGTGGTTTTTTTTTCTTTTGATGGTAAAAAAACATGTATAATTTACCATTGTAACCATGTTTAAGCGTACAGTTCAGTAGTGTTCATAAACAAATAAACATATCCATATTGTTGTGAATATAGTATGAGGTGATAATCTCATTGAGATTTTGATTTGCATTTGAATGAAGATTCGTGATGTTGAGCAGCTTTTCTTATGTTTGTGAGTCATTTATAGATCATCTTTGTAGAAATATCTATTCCAGTCTTTTACCCATTTTTAATTGGATTCATTGCTTTTTTGTGTTCTTTTTAAATTTTTGGATTGTCTCCCTGTGGTTTATTTTGGATAATTTCTATCATTATGCTTTCAGATTTAGTTCTGCAATGTTTAACCTGCTAGAAATCCCATCCAGTGTATTTTTTTAAATAAAGAGTTTATTTTTATAGAGCAGTTTAGGTTCATGGCAAAATTGAGAAGAAGGTAGAGCAATTGTCCATATGTACTGTCCCCTGAGATTCAGAGCCGCCTCCATTATCAACATCCCCCACCAGTGTGGTACAACTAACACGTGATAAGCCTGCACTGATACATCATTATCAACCAAAGTTTATAATTTACACTAGGGTTCACTCTTGGTGTTGCACATTTACGGGTTTGGGCAAATGTATAATGACTTGTATCCATCATTAAGTATCACATAGAATAGTTTTACTACTCTGAAACTCCTTTATGCTCTGCCTGCTCACCTTCTTTCCCTCTCTCCAACCCCAGCTTCTGGCAACCACTGATCTTTCACTGTCTCCATTGTTTTACTCTTTCCAGAATGTCATATGGTTGGAATCATATAGTATGTAGCCTTTTGAGATTGGCTTCTTTCACTTAGTAATAGGCATTTATGTTGAATGTCTCTTCATGACTTGATAGCTCATTTCTTTTTAGTACTGAATAATATTTTGTTGTTTGAAAGTACAACAGTTTATTTATCCATTCATCTACTGAAGAACATATTGGTTTCTTCCAGCATTTGGCAAATAAACTATTTCAAACATCCAAGTGCAGGTTTTGTGTGGGTGTAAGTTGTGTAAATACCAAGGGGTACTCCTGGATTGTGTGGTGTTTGATTTTGTCAAATGCTTCCTCTATATCTTTTTATAGAATCGTGATTTTTCTTATTTAACTTTTGATGTGATCTATTACATTAATTGATTTTTTTCATGTTGAACCAGGCTTTCATTCTTGGCCTAAATTCCTTTTGATCGTGATATATGTGTGCATTGTTAGATTCGATTTGCTAATATTTTTGAGGATTTTTGCCTCTTGTTCATGAGAGAGATTGATAATACTTTCTAATATCTTTATCTGGTTTTGATTTTAGAGTAATGCTGACCTCATAGAATGAGTTAAGAAGCATGCTTTCTGCTTCTGTCCACTGAAAGAGATTGAAGAGGTTTGGTGTAATTTCTTCCTTAATTGTTTGGTTAGCCCATCTGGGCCTGGTGCTTTCTGTTTTGGAAGGTTGCTAATTATTAATTCTATTTCTTTACTATATAGACTTATTCTCCAATGTATTTTTTATTTCAGAAATTGTAGTTTTCATCTTGATAAGTTGGTTTCAGTCTTCTTTATGTCTAAACTTTTTGAACATATAGGATCTATTAATAGTTTTACTATCTTGTTTTAATGTCTTTCTATGCTAATTCTAATCACTGTCTATTCTAGGTTGATTTTGAGTGGTTGATTACTCTCTAATTTCATTATGAATTGTATTTGCCTGCCTCTTTGCATGCCTGGTAATCTTTGATTAGACGTCCAACATTGAATTTACCTCATTGGTTACTGGTTATCTTTGTATTCTTATAAAATTTTTCTGAGCTTTGTTTAGGGATGCAAAAGGAAATGGCAACCCACTCCAGGATTCTTGCCTGGAAAACCCCATGGACAGAGGGGCTTTGGGGGCTACAGTCCTCGGGGTCGCAAAGAGTCGGACGCGACTGAACAACGAGCACTTTTATTTAAGTTACTTTGGGGCTTTGCTTTTACGGTGTTGGTTGTGTCTGGAACAATTGTTATTCCCCACTGCTGAGGTAAAGTCTTCCTGAAAGCTCTGCCCAATGCCTGTACAAGGTGAGTTTCTCAAGGCTTACGTGGTGGGAAGAGTCTCCCTTCTGTGCCGTGTGAGCGCAGGACGCTGTCCGCTGTTCCTCCTTTGGATGGCTCTGTCCTTGGTCTCAGGTCTTGTCCTCACATGCATGCTCAGCGCTCTGCTGTGTATTTGAAGGAGCCCCCCTGGATCTCTGGGGTTCCTCTCTGAGCAGCTCTCTCCCCTGGGTTTCTTCCGTAAGTACTCTGGTTGCCTTTGTGTCCCTGTACTTTCAGCGTCATCTCCCCAGCTCAGCAGATCTACCAGGCCCCACCTCAGCTCGCCTGCCCTGTGCCGCTGCTGCCTGGAAACTTCCAAGGCAGTAAGCTCGGGCACTTGTAGGACTCACTGCACTTGTTCTCCATCTGCCAAGGATCACTGTCTTTCATTGCTGAATATCCAGTGTCTAGCAAACCATTGTTCTTTTTTTTTGTTTGTTTTTGGTCTGGTTGGTTTCTGGGTTGATTTGTTGTTTTATTTATTTGGTTGTTTAAGGTGGTAGGGCAAATCCAATCCCCATTAATCCATTTTAGCTAAAAGCAGAAGTCCTGTCTACTTGTAATTTTAACCTCAGAAAGTTCTTGTGTTAGAATTCTTACAGGAACACTCTCTTGGTAGTAACTATTGGTCATTTCCATTCAAGAGACTATGTGTACACATGAGCAATGAGATAAACGTAAATAGCCAGCAGGGAGTTTTGAGGCTTTTCTAGGGTTGTTAAACTGATTTCCTGACTCCCCTCTTTCTGGGAATTTCTTGAGGTATTTGGATCTAAAAGCTAATTCTAAATAATGACTTGATGAAATTCCTAACGATGTTATGATTTTATTCTCAGAATTAAGAAAAAGAAAGAGCAGCAACGTTATGCTGAAGAACAGAGGATATTAAGAATGAAATCCCATGAAGAACCATGTTCAGAGGAGAAGATGACTGATATATTAGCCCAACTACAACTTGAGGAAATAAAAGGAGCCAGAGAAAAACAACAGCAGAAAGAAAAAGAATACCAAAGGTACTTTGGAAAGTTCTGCATGAAATTTTGGCCCTGGAGGAGACTTGTTAGGAAGTCGATATTCTCATTTTCCGTAAAATGAATTGACTGTGTCATTTTATGCTTTAGGAAGTACAGAACTTCATCACATTTTTTTTTAAGACTTTTTTTTTTGATGTGGACCATTATTTAAAGTCGTTATTGAATTTGTTACAATATTGTTTCTGTTTTATGTTCTTTGGCTGTTTTTGGCCATAAGGCATGTGGGATCCTAGCTCCCCGACCAGGGATCGAACCCTCACCCTGTGCATCAGAAGGTGAACAGATTTCTTGATTGCCTGATACCTCTCTGGAATAGCACTACATTTTTCCTTCTATGCTTCCTAGTACACAGAGGAAGGGTTGAGGCACAGTGATATGAAATAGTTTTAACAGTTCGAGCTAGGAGTAAAATAAGGACTCATGCTCATTCTCTTCCTAGTGGTTTACTTTGCTTGGTCATTCTGTACTTTTGTAGATATGTAGAAGCTTTAAGAGCCCAGATCCAGGAGAAAATGCGGCTATATAATATTACTTTACCTCCACTCTGCTGCTGTGGTCCTGATTTTTGGGATGCTCATCCTGATACCTGTGCCAACAATTGTATTTTCTATAAAAACCACAAAGGTAAGTGTCTTCAAGGAATGGTTGGAGCCTGGTGGCAGATAAAAAATAACAGGAGTAAAAGAAGTGATTGTAGTAGAAATTAGCATTTATTGACTAAGTGCTTATTATATACCAAAGACTGTTATACCCCCTTTACAAAACAACTCTGAGGCAGTAAAAATAATTATAGTGAGTTACATTTCTCTTTGAGATATGTTATCTTCTTGTCTTCGTTTATGCTGGGGAAATAGTTCTAGCCCATTGTATAGTAATGAGACTAGGGTTGCAGGTTCTCCTGTAAATGAAGAAGATTAGAGGTTTATAGCTATCTAAGTTAGGCCTCTGTCCAGTTGAATACCCTGTTATCCAAATTCTTCAATGTTATCTAACATAGACTTATCTGTATATTATTTATAATGTGTGTATATCCATATTAGACTGCCAGTTCTGCTAGGGGTCACTGAGAAACATGAGGACCAATATAAACTCTGTTAGGAATACCAGCTAGAAGAAATGGATTCATTTCCTATTGCCACTAATATTTCTGTTTATTGTCCATTCTTAAATGTGTTGATTTACATAGTATAGAGATTATAGAGGCTTCATACACACACCAAAAATATTGGCGGTGTTTGTATTCCTAATGTTCCATCTGCGATACAAGTTTCTTATCAGTCCTGTGAATTATGTTTTAAAAACACACTTCTGATTGTGCTGTTCCACTATCATCAGACCTGTAGGACTTACCACTGAAGTGCAAAATACAGTGCATAACCGGCATATTTTCTCTCTGGCTCCAGGCAACACTCCAGCCATGTCGAACCTGCTATTGTCAGTACACATCACATTTTTAAAAAATATATCCTTGTACTCCCACACACTCATTTCTTTGCCTAGAAGGCCTCCTTTTCTTTACTTCTATTAATCCTTCAAGACCATCTTAAATGTTACTGATTCTTTTTTTTTTTTGGAATGTTGCCACTTCTGGAAATCTTTTTCATCCTCTCCCAGTTTCTTTCTCATTTTGAACTTCATGCTGTGATGACATTTTGTATATGCCTCTGGTTTGGAAATAGTACACTGCAATTTAATTTTTGTGTCCATCCTCTCATGATTTTTTTCTGTAATCATAGAGTACTTGGCATGTGGTAAATACTCAATACTTAATCAATGAATTGTTAAAGTTAATACCTATGAGACTGGGCAGAGAAACAGTACTCATAGGAAGAGGTTGGGAGAACTGTTTAGAATCCTACTTCATTCATCACTATGTTAATCTTTATTTGCAGCGTATACCCGGGCACTACATTCAGTCATCAATTCCTGTGACATCCCTGAGGGGAACTCAGATCTTCGAGTTGCCATTCATAATTTTGCTTCTGCACATAGACGGACTTTGAAAAACCTGTAATAAGAATCTGAAATCAACTGTTAGTATTTCAACCTTCACTTAAAATCTACCCCAAGAGATTATTTTAGGAAAAATTGTCAAAGTGTGTAAGATGTGTAATCTGGAAAGAAAGACTGTCCCACACAATTGGTATCTTTTTAATTAAATCATGACCATTACTTCACTCTGTGCTTGGGACCAGGATTGAAAATTGGGTTACAGACTTGTCTCATTACTGTAAACCATCTGGTATGTATTGTTTTAAAAATGATCACTCAGTCTGGTGAGGTTTCTCTCACTTTCCTCTGTTCTGCTTAGAAGAGATTATTAAAAATCTTTGAGGTTATCTCATTTATTATCTTTATATAACTGTACCACTTGAATCTTGACAAAATTGAAAATGTTTGGATGAAGGAGAAGAGAAGATGAAGAGATGAATTTCTGAGCACCAGTGGCCATCTATATTGCTGTTAGCTTTTCTGTTTGTGTACAGCAGTTAGAGATGAGAACAATCTGAATTTGATGTACGTTTTTTCCTCAGGATTTTTTCTCTCATGTTTTTAAATTTATTACCTATTTGCCCATTCAGTGACGATGAACACAGGACTTTTTACTTTTATAATTTTTATAGCAAAAAAAGGCAAATAAACCCTCTGCCTTTTGAGCATCTTTTATGTGAAATAATTGTGAGCGACATTTGAAAAAGTGAATCTGAAGTCAAAGAGAGTAAAGTCCTACTGTATTTTCCTATCTCTAAAAAATCTGGTGAATGCCATACCTACAGAGCAGGTGAAATAAAAATTGCTATAGTTAGTACGAATTTGTTATTTGTTTACAGTGTTTCTTGACACAAAATATGAAAAGTTTTAATATTGTGAATTAAGGAGAGGTACTGACTTTTTTTTTTCCTACTTCTAATGGTCAGTGTTGAAAAAGCACTTAAGTTATATCTCAGAAAACACCTAAACATCTAGCTAGGTCATTGAAAATAAGTGTCAGAATTACTCGTGTGACAAGATTGACTGGTTATTTAATCAGATTAATTATCCAGTTAGTCAAAATCCTTATGCAACTAAATCCTTGCTTTAGCCTTTCTGAGTTGTATTTTTTAACACCTTCATTGAGATATAATTCATATAGCATTTGATTCACCGACTTGAAATGTATAATTCAGTGGTTTTTATTATACTCTATGGTTGTACAACCATTACCACTATCACATTTTAGAACACTTGCCACCCTAAGGAGATGCCAGTGTGATCCAGCAATCCCACTGTGGGTATATATCCTAAATAACTGAAAGCAGAATCTTCAACAGATATGTTCGTAGTGGCAAGAGGTGGAAACAACCTAAGTTTCCATCAACAGATGGGTGGATAAACAAAATGTGGTGTATACATACAATGGAATACTCTTCAGCCCTAAAAAGGAAAGAAATCCTGTCATGTAGTGTAACCTGTATTAGCCTTAAGGACATTGTCCTAAGTGAAGTAAGCTAGGAACAAAAAGACTAATACTGTGTGATTCCTCTCATGCTAGCAACCTAGAGTAATCAAATTCAAGCGGATAGAAAGTGGAGTGATGGAGACTTCCCTGGTGGTCCGGTGGTTGGGAATGCACCTTCCAATGCTTGAAACACGGCTTCGATCCCTGGTTGGGAAACTAAGATCCCACATGCTGCAGGGCTGCTGAGGCCCCACACTCTAGAGCCCGTGCTCTGCAACAAGAGAAGTGTGCATGCCACAACTAGAGAAAAAGCCCGTGCTCTGCAACAAGAGAAGTGTGCATGCCGCGACTAGAGAAAAAGCCCGTGCTCTGCAACAAGAGAAGTGTGCATGCCGCGACTAGAGAAAAAGCCCGTGCTCTGCAACAAGAGAAGTGTGCATGCCGCGACTAGAGAAAAAGCCCGTGCTCTGCAACAAGAGAAGTGTGCATGCCGCAACTAGAGAAAAAGCCCGTGTGCTGCATCAGGACCCAGCACGGCCAAAATTTAAAAAAGGAAAGTCGAGTAATGGTTGCCAGGATCTGGGGTCAGGAGGAAATGGGAAGTTATTAATGAGTTGAGTTTCAGTTTTGCAAGATGAAGAAGTTCCAGAGGTCTCTTTCACAACAGTGTCAATATAAATACACTTAAGATACACTACTGAAAAGTATCCTTAAAATTGGTTACAACTGTAATTTTTTATAGTTTCTTTTTTTAACAATAATCAAAATTTTTTAGAATAGAAAAGAAAAATCACATACCCACTAGCAGTTGTTTCTCATTTTCTCAGCCAATCACTAGCCCACTTTCTGTCTCTATAGATCTGCCTATTTTGGACTTGCCATATAAATGGAGTCATGTAATAAATAGTCTCTTGTGACTAGAGTCTTTCATTTAGTATCATGTTTTAAAGATTTCTCTATGTTGTAGCTTATATCAGTAATTCATTGCTTTTTATTGCTGAATAATGTTCCACTCTGGATATACTCCATTTCATTTACCCAGTTGATGAATGTTTGGGCTCTTTCTACCAAAAAAGAGCTGCTATGAATAATGCTGTTATGAAGATTTGTTTACAAGCTTTGCTGTGTCTTTATTTTTCTTGGCTATATACCCAGGAGGGGATTTGCTGGGTCATGGTAGCCTAATGTTGAACATTTTAAGGAACTGAAAACTTTTACAAAGCGTCTGCATCATTTTACATTCACACCAATTGCGTATAAGGGTTCAGATTTTCTTCACATTCTCCAACTCTTATCCTTATCTATCTCTCTGATTATAGTCATCCTAAAGGGTATGAAGTGGTATCTCATTGTGATTTTTATTTTCTTGATGGCTAACAATGGTGAGCGTCTTTATTTTTCTGATGGCTAACAATAGTGAGCATCTTTTCACGTGCTTATTAGCCCCTGGTATATCTTTTTTGGAGAACTGTCTTTTCAAATCCTTTGCCATTTTGTAATTGGCTTATTTATCTTTTGATTATTGAGTTCTGAGAGTTGTTAATATATTCTGCTTAAGGTCCCTTACTAGACTTAACGGTTTGCAAATATTTCCTGTTCTGGGGATTGCTTTTTCACTTTCTTGATGGTTTCCTTTGCAGGACACAATTTTTTAATTTTGAGGAAGTCCAATTCATCTGCCTTTTCTCTTGTTGCTTTGGTCATTACCTAATCCAAGTTCAGGTCTTCCCTGGTAGCTCAGTGGGTAAAGAAGCTGCCTGCAGTACCGAAGGTACAGGAGATACGGATTCAATCCCTGGGTTGGGAAGATCTCCTGGAGGAGGGAATGGCAACCCCCTCCAGTATTCTTGCCTGGAGAATCCCATGGACAGGAGCCTGGTGGGCTACAGTCCACATGGTCGCAAAATCGGACATGACTGAAGTGATTGAGCACCTGTGCACACAATCCAAGCTCACAAAGATTTACTCCTGTGTGTTCTTTTAAGAGTTTTGTAGTTTTAGCTCTTCCACTGAGGTCTATGATCTGTTTTGAGTTAATATTTATGTATAGCATTAGATAGGCATCCAACCTCCTTCTTTTGTATGAGGATATCTAGTTGTCCCAGGATCATTTGTTCAAAAAACTATTATTCACCCACTGAATTGATATGACACTGTTGTAAAAAGTCAATGGACCATTAATATTAGGGTTTATTTCTGAAATCTCATTTCTATTCCATTAATCTATGTATTTATACTTAAACCAAAGTATTCTGTTTTGATTACTGTAGCAAGTCATGAAATTGAGAAGCATGAGGCTTCTATCTTTGTTCTTTTTAAAAATTGTTTTGCTATACTGAGTCCCTTGCATTTTTATACGAAATTTTAAGATCACCTTCCTACAAAAAAAGCTAGTTGAGATTTTGATCAGGGTCACATTGAATCTATAAATCAGTTTTGGAATTGTCATCTGATTCATGAATGTGGGATGTCTTTCCATTCATTTCTTCCAACAATGTTTTTTAATTTTCAGAGCATATAATGTGTACTTTTCTGTTAAATTTATTCCAAAGTATTTTGTTCTTTTTGATGCTATTTTAAATGGAATTATCACCTTAATTTTATTTTCTGATTGTGCATCATAAGTGTATAGCGATAACAGTTGAATTTTGTATATTATGATAGCTCAGTTGGGAAAGAATCCTCCTGCAGTGCAGGAGACCCCAGTTCAATTCCTGGGTCGGGAAGATCTGCTGGAGAAGGGATAGGCTACCCACTCCAATATTCTTGGGCTTCCCTTGTGGCTCAGCTGGTAAAGAATCTGCCTGCAATGTTGAAGACCTGGGTTCGATCCCTGGGTTGGGAAGATCCCCTGGAGAAGGGAAAGGCTACCCACTCCAGTATTCTGGCCTAGAGAATTCCATGGACTCTATAGTTCATGGGGTCACAAAGAGTCAGACACGACTGAGAACTTTCATATTTCAGTCTTGTACCTCGTAACCTTTCTGAACTAATTTTTAATGTCTTTGTTCCTGTTCTCATCACATTATCTCTTGAATATATTGTAGTAAGACTTATCTGCCTTTACGTCTCCGGTGAAGAGGCTTTTCAAAGCCATCAGTGATTTCCACATTGCTAAATTCAGTGGTCATTCTCAAAGTTTATCTTGACCTGCCATCAGAATTAAACACAATTGATCACTCCAGTTTTTATTGAAATATCTTACACCTGGATTTCACAACCCCCCAAATTTTAAGTGTATCCCAGGGCTCAGTCCCTGGACCACCTTTACTATCTACACTTGCTCTTCTGGTGGCCTGCTTTAGTCTCATGGGTCTGTTATCTATATACTGATAACTCCTACATTTATATATCTGGCATAGACCTCTCTCTGAAAATCCACACTTTTAACCTAAACTGCCTACTTAACGTTTCCTCATCATTGGTTCCCCTCAATTTGCTCTTCCTGTCGTCTTCCCCATATTGGTTAATTAGAAATTCCATGTGTCTAGTTATTGAGGTCAAGAACCTTGAAGAAATCATTGATTTTCCCCACTCTGTCTCTTTCATCCTTCACCTCATCAGCACACTGTGTC